TAAAGGTCCCACGCCGGTAAAACGGCTAAATCCTGAACGGGGTAGAAAAATTTGATGGTCATCATATCGTCCAACGGGTCTTGGATTCTTCACCGGACATCCGCAGTTCTCACGAAAGTGTGCAACATGTGTCACTAGTAAAACTCGTATGTCCAGTTTTGGTCAGTCCGTTAAGGGTAGAGAAATCCAGGTTCATGGGTCAACTTGGCTAATGCAAGGGTCACTTTAAGGGGTTCCCACGAGTGTCCTTTGTCCGGCACTGATAAATGGGGTAGTTTCGTTTCGTATAACCAGCGAAAGAGTTAAGCAATGGTCAAGTGAATTTTTAAAGGGTATTGAAGATGCGCTCGCTTTTATTAGTGACCGGTTTCGCGACCGGTGACACCCTTATTTGCGTACCGTTGAAGGGAAGCTTCTTCAAGCTCACGTTTTTAGGATTTTTATCGGACTGACACTGACACACGCATCACAATCAACAGTTCTAAACCCTAAACAAACGGCCCGTAGACAACAACCGAAATCCTCACATTTTTTTCACCAAAAATCAAACACCTTGAAATTTTGCGCACTGTGTAGCACACAGCCCCAATGTACGTAAAAAGAAAAAATCCGGTTAGTTTAGTAATTTGATTTTGTGTAAAAACAATGAGAATTTTTTAATTGTAAGAGAAGGGATATTTTTTAGAATTAAAATTTCTTGCAAGATATCCCAAGTAGAAGTTTCTAAATCAATATCTGTTGGCAACTTTAGAAGAGACAATTAAAATTAAACAAAAAAAATATTTTTTTAATTAAATAAGAGATACCTTCTACATGTAATTACATATCCATTATGCTGATAAGTAAGTCATTATTAGGTGTAAAATTTGAATTTTTTTTACCAAGGCATTATTAAGCCAAAACAAAGCAATTAACGTAATACACATTACTAACAAAAATTTGTCTCAAAAAGATAAAGGGTGTAGCTAGAAGAGAGCATTTGGAACCTTTACTAAAATTTTTCTATTTTTAAATCATTATTGTGAATTTTGTGTTTGTGGTAGATAATGTATTTTCAAATTAATTATAATTTCATTTATAGATGAAAATGTCTTCATTAATACCCTGTATCTTTTTGTTATTAAAGTATTTAGGTTACAATTAATTATGACATCCTGTATACGCTAAAAAATCGTTGCTAAACGCGACAACTTTTGTTCTGTTTCTTAAAATTATTTTCGGGGCACACCTTGTGTGTTATAATAATTTGCTCAATTTTTACTTGTTTTCAATTTTTTTTTGTATTGTATAATTTTGAAAATTGATATTTTTTTTACTTTTATGTAAAGTAAATGATTAACAAAGTAAATTGAAAATGTAATTTGAAATTATTAAAAAAAAAATACATTCGAGACAACTTTCGAATTTCGTAGTGTCTCAACTATAACGTCTTAGAAAAATGTTCTATGAAAAAAAAAACAGTACAAACAGGACAGTCTATTTGCAGCACCATTATTTTATTAAATAGTTACAAATCCATTGTCCAGGTTGTACGGAAAAAACGGTAAAAGATTTTGGAGAGTGATGCTTTAGGTTATTTTATTGTATAATTTTTTTTTGTGGACCTACATATGTCTGGAAATGCTTCTTAAGGGAGTTACAACTCTCTGAAAATACCGACCAAAAAGTCTTTTTTAATTATCTCATTAACCCATTTAGATAAGTTTACAAAAATTTGCATTCGAGGTAATTTGTTGTGTTTTAAGTTAGTGCGATTAAAAATTGAGTACTTTAATTAGAGGAGAGGGGGAATTATGGTCAACCTATACATATTTAAGGCGAAAAATTTTGCTTTGAAAAACGTTGAATATTTTTTTACAAATACGGATTTACTTATTAATTAAAAAAAAATCTTATGGATATTTTTATGCGACGCACGCTTTTCGAGAAAAAGGGATTTTCTCAATCCGTGCGGATTAAGTTTTCGGCAAGTCCTAATCCACGCATTCAATTTTTTCATATAAGGTCGAGTTATCGCTTTAGCTACCTTAGGAAGTATTAACGGGCTTACAGAGTGATTCAAAACAGTCGGACCAACTCTGGAATAGATATTAGGTGTATGTACCAAAACATTTTGATCTTTATGCATGACGTAATGATTCGGAGAGTAAACCGGAAAAGTACCTGTACATATAGTTTTTAAACAAAAATATGTTAAACTGTGAATCGACTATTTTTGAATATTTTTACATCAGAAAGAAGAGCTATAATAACGAGTGAAAAGCATGGAAAAAAGTATTTGTGGCACCAATTTCTTTAGTTTCGTCTCAGAATGAAATAAATAAATTTCTTTTTTAACTAATTCATTTTTGATTAAGTTTTTGTCTGAATTACAAGAGATAAAATGGTTTGATTTGCAAAGGGCATTTGTAATTTTTATTCATAAATGGGAATAAGTCGCCCCTAGGAAAATCGTCTTGAAACCTTGGAGGTAGAAGAGTTAATATTCACCCTTTGAAAAATCCGGCGGTATCTCTATAAATCAATTGTTGTAAAAAATAACAGTATCAAAAGGTGTGATGATAATCGACCTCCCTGGAAGATGGACCCTTGTTGAATCAACAAAGGGTGGTTGATGCTTTTTTATATGGGTATTATAGAGGTTCTGTAATGCTCCCGTTCACTTCTTTAATGCGTAAGCACTCATTCGAAGAAATGTTTTTGATTGAAATAAATTCAGAACTGTACCTAAATAAACATAATTCGAGATTGAGCAAACCGATTCGGGGGTAAATCATGTATCATTTGTAGTTGCAACAAGTCGATTTATAATTGAAATTAACTAATTAGTAGCTAACAAGAACGTTACATTTGTTAATTACAATGCGCATATCAAATAAGTGGACATAAGTTTAAGCAAAAAAAAATCGTAAATTAATTAATGGAAATCTGTCCAATGAATCATAGAGAGCCTACAATAAAACAAATACTTAACAAGATCATTTATTAAGGCCTGACAGAGACATCGAGAAAAAGAGAAAATGTCTTAAGAATAAATTAATTCGTCGATGCAGTCGCTAGACAAATCAGTTTTTGAGAAGTCACAATTATTATACAACTTCCATAATGATTGGCTGACGCTCCACTTGATAAACATGTGGGTATGACTGTCTACAGTCCGCCCATCTCTGTCATTTTCACTTATTTTTAGACGCAACTAAACCAGACATATTTTTATCAATCATAGCTTGATCAAACCGGTAGCGCCTATTTTTGGCACTAATATTTTTTATGAATAAGACGGAAAAACTGTATAATAAAATTAACCCAGTTTTAAATTGAAATTCAGGCGATTATAATCTGGAAGTGTCGAAGTGACCCCCCGGTGACCCCATCGTTATCAGCGGTTGATCTAGTCTCTCTCTACACATTCTTACAACATATAGTTGGTTCTCAACTGTAACAGCTATACTTAGTTGGATGGATAACTACAAAGAATTCCATCATGAAATTTTATTGCGTACATAGTGAACAAAAATGGCTATATGTTGCGCGCTTTTTGCAACCATTCTTTCTTATTGCAATTGTGGATTCTTTTAATGTAATTACGGACGCCAATTACTCGAATTTCTTTTTCAAGAATCTTAGGCCGCGTTCACACAATTGAATTTCGCGTTGAAAAAATCCCACACCACCTGTGCCTCCACTGACCCTAGACATCTGTCAAGTGTAACAAGTCATTTACTAACCGGAAAAACTAGTGATTTTATTGAGTGAGTAAATATTTAGCGATTTACCGGTTAAGAAGCCCCAACCAGTTCATCAAGTTCAAATTGTATCACTTATAGGTCTACAACTACAACTATGAATGAATTTAGTCGGGTAATGGTGCTAATACGGTCACCATGTCTACGTGATTTTTAACGAAAAAGTGAAATTTCGATTCGAATCCTTGACCTTCAGAATTATTTATGATCATATATGGCGCGCTCGGAAGATTTTATTCATTCCTAATTAGCTTACGTAATTCACCAAATATTTATGGATTCACACGAAATGCATTTTATAACCAAACAGGTAAGTATGTACTTTTTATCGATTTGTCTGTAGTGACAGCAATCTGATAAGCATGTCTCGTTCACTTTCATGCAACTTCCTTTTCCGCCCATCACAATTTCACTCTAAATACTTATTTCTTTTTGCAAATTTCATCAGACCTTTTTATTGCTCAACATGTGTAAAAATATAAATAAATATTTTAAATTGTAGTATATTATTCTAAATAAACTAAGAGTACGCAATGACAAATTCTTACAAGATTTTGCAATTCTTTGAGGTCATTTCTAATATCAACTCATATATTACTACTAGCCAGTGATACAGAATTCCACATTTGTCTCTCACTGTTATATCACACGTTTATTTAAATCGATGTGTTTCAAACTGCTGCTATTTCCGTTCCCGATTTCGACATTGTACCTCATTTTGAAACAAACTTTAATGTCAAGAAATTTTAACTTTACAAGAAATCTACTTTGATGAACAAAACTTATAATACACTTAATACTCAGAATTTTATCAAATCAATAAGCGATTGGTAGAGAAAAAATGAAAAAAAACCTCCTTATTTTGTTTACAATATACTAGGTTGAAAAAAATTTAAAATCAAAAAATATGTTAGTATAGGCAACCAACAATACACATTTTTAATAATTATGAATTTTTATCATTTATATTTTTATTATTATGTAATATTTAATTTTGTAATGTTTAAATCAAATAAATTAAATTAATTCTTGTACAATTGTTTGAATTTGTAATAAATATTTTTTTGAAAATACTTATTATTTTATTTTGATTATTCGGTGTTCCCATATAAAAAAACATACAACTTATTTGAGAAAAAATTATTGATTAATTAATCAATAACTGAATAAAATCTTTTTGATGCAAATTTATCCGAATTTGAATTCCCACGGTTTTTCTGTTAATGTCCTGATCAGTGCTGCCAACGTGAGAAACTGACATTTGTCATTTTTTTGACATAGCATGTGAATTCAAGTCGAATTTCATCATAAATCACAGGTCATGGTTGTGTTTTGTCCTTTTTGTGGTAATTTGCTGTTTGCTCAAGAAATTTGTGGGAGAATAAGTTTTTCGTGTCGAATTTGCCCGGTGTCGTTTCCCATTCGTGGAAAAATTTCGCACCGCACGTACTATCAAGTGAAGGTAAGAGATAAATAAAATAGTTTTCATTGTTTAACTCCGTCGTGGTTTTTAGTCGGTTGATGACGTTCTTGGTGGCGAAGATGCGTGGAAAAATTGCGACGTAACTGCGGAAACGTGTCCAGAATGCAGCTGCCCCCGAGCCTACTTCCTGCAAATTCAAACTCGTTCTGCTGACGAGCCGATGACCAATTTCTACCGCTGTTGCAACCCCGAATGCGCCCACAATTGGCGAGAATAGGCGATGCGTTTTTTCACGCCACTCTTCAAAAAACTATCGCCAAATCGTGTTTCTATGGCATTGCACGTTCCCATTGGGGACCCAAATGCTGAAGTATTAGCCGTTGATGTGCTTAAGTTGGGCCGTGTCATTGCTGTTCCCACGGATACCGTGTACGGACTTGCTTGTGACGCGACAAATCTAACCTCAGTTAACAAACTGTATAGTATTAAGGGCCGGAACGAGCACAAACCCGTCGCTATTTGTCTCGGGGACGTCCTCGAGGTCAAAACCTGGGCCAAAGTTGAGCATTTACCCAAAGGCTTGCTAGAAAGCCTCTTCCCAGGCCCGGTGACTGTCATTCTGACTTGTGCAAACAAGCTTGACAAGTCGCTAAGTTTTAACACAAAAGTTGGGATTAGAATCCCAGATTATCATTTTATTCGGGCTTTGGCTAGAGGTTTAGGACGACCTTTGGCTCTCACAAGTGCGAATTTAAGTAACGAGCCAAGTTCGTTAACAATTCATGAATTTCAAGACTTGTGGGATAAACTTGGTGCAGTTTTCGATGGTGGCAAGTTGGGAAATGACGATTTGAGACGACGAGCTTCCACTGTTATTGACTTATCAGAATGCGGGTTGTATACAATTGTGCGACAGGGTATTGCGGTTGATAAAACTATTGCGATTTTGCACAGATTTGGATTATTTAACAAACATGAATAAGTTGTTTAAAAGTGTGCACTCTTCGGACACTAATAAAGACAATTTAATTAAAAAATCAATAACAGATCACTTGTCAAATAGTGTTAAAGCTATACAATACTGCGGAGTTGAAGAAAATGGACTTAATAAGGAGGACGTTACTGAAGCTTCAAACACCTTATGTATGACAATCGAAGCCATTTTTCTGCACGGCTTGAGAGACTCCTTGAGCAAAAGGTTCAAAAGGGCCATTGCGGACGTTGACGAGAGGCCAGAGCCCAGCTTTTGGGCCCCTCTACTTGTCATATCACACCGCCAAATTATAGACCAGGTAAAAAGTTTTCTAAAATATCAAGATTGACAAATTAAAAATTGTTCTAGATAACCCACCTATCCCAGATAACCAGCGAGGTGGGCCAATGCCGGGCGTGGATCCGCTTGGCCCTGAACGATTGTCTTTTGTCTTCTTATTTGATGACAATTCGACGTGACCCCAGCTCCTTGAAGTCTTTTTACCGGCCCACAGCCTACTTGCGCGACAGCGACCTCGTTGATGTAGCCCAACGTTTGATCGAAGGCGTCGAGGCCTTCAAAACCGTAACGTTACCTTGCAATTCGAGCCTTTTAAACACTTGGCAATTGCCTAGTCTCTTCCTTGCCGGCATTTGGGCTCCAACTTTGAAGGCTTGTCCTGTAGCGCCTTGCGACGACGTGGCTCAAATGGTTGAAGAGACTCGCACAGTTCCTGAAAGCAACTCCGAGACTTGTTCTTTGAGTTCGGCTATGTCCATAACATCGCAAAATTCGGGCTTGAAACAAATGGTTGCGTTGAATGAAGATGAAGCTTTGAAGATCATTCTAGCCAAACATAGAGACAAAATTGAGATAAATAAAAGCGAGGAGAATTTAAAATCGTCGCTGTCGGAAAGCACAGACTCGGAAAATTTGTATACTGTGGGAAACTCGCTGAATAGGAGGACTGGTTGGTCGTTCGACGACAGTCAACCTCAAGAGGAAATCGAAGAGGCTGCGGCTAACCCCACCAAGGAGATTCCCCCGGTTATAAATCCCGAACCCAAGTCGATGGAAGGCAGTTTTAATGCTTTGATTGAAAGTTACAATATGTTGAGTGGCGGGTATATAAAAACTCCCGATTTGAGGGAAGTTTGGCAGAAATTCGAGGATCACAATATCGGTGAAATGGACACACCTAATAATAATAATGTGGGACAATCAAGTGTCCTTTTGGCCAAAAGTGAAACACCACTATCGACACTCATTGGTCGAATTAGTAAAGAGAAAGGTCTAGACAGACAGAATTACGAGTGTGCAGGGTGTAGAGAAGCCTTGGGTGTTACCATAAAACCCAAAGTTTGTGCTTTCACTGCCGAATATTTTTGCGATTCTTGCATGAGTGAGGAGGAAATTTCAATCCCAGCCCGAATTATACATAACTGGGATTTCAAATCATATCCAGTCTCGCAGAAAGCTTTTAACTATATTAACGAAATTAAGGACCATCCTACTATAGATTTTAAAGTAAGTTGGGATTTTTTAGTGTAATTATATGTGTTTTTCAAGACTTTAAACCCTTATATTTATGGAGTGGTTGAAGAAATGGCACAACTCCAAATCCTACGAAACCAATTGAACTTCTTAAGAGCTTATTTATACACGTGTAGAGAGCCGGTTATTGAACAGTTGCAGAAACAAATGTGGCCGCGTGAATATATGTATGAACATGTGCATCAGTATTCAGTTTCTGTAATAATGTCAACAGAGTGAAATCTGATTTTTCAAAAGTGAGTTTCAGGATTTGGCTGAAATCTCAAGTGGGGTTTTAGCGCAACATTTACAGACTGTCGTTAATTTTGGCAAAGAACATGTGATTGCTTGTTGGTTGTGTAGTCAGAAAGGTTTCGTTTGTGAAGTTTGCAACAAACCAAAAGCGTTGTTTCCCTTTGATGTTGAACATATTTATCGCGTAAGTTTTGATTACTTTTTCCTTTTTATTTCATTGTTTTTTCTAGTGTGATGTTTGCAACGCAGTTTATCATAAAGGTTGCCTTAATTCAACAAAACCATGCCCGAAATGTAAGAGGAGGAAGGAGAGGGCAGATTTGCCTCTTCTTGGTGCTACAGTTGAATAATTTTCTGAATTTAAATAAATTTAGTTTTTCAATTTTATTTGTTTCTCATTTTACACCTAAAGTAAAACAATGATTTTTATTAGAGGTGAGTCTATTAATTACAAATATACAAATATAATACAAAAGAATTAAATAATAAAAAACGTAAGTAGCAACAATGGAATGTAATTAATTAAATTAGTGATTCGATAATTTGGTCCCTACAAAACTACAACAAACAGTTATTTTGTCTACTACATAAAACTAATTATGACACACCTTTAACAACTATTAAAACATTTAGGGTCGGTTTCTGAAACGATTTATTGTTAGATAAATTTTATCGGTTCCATAATTGCTATTTCTATAGCAATTATGCGTGTTTCCACGCAATCAAATCAGCGCTATCTTAGTAACTATCGAAGCGATAAAATTTACCGAATGTTAAGTCGTTCCAGAAACCGGGCATTAACAAGTTATAACTACTTAGTAGTTTTAGTATCGGTTAAGGCACGATGACTGCTTCGTATAGGCAAGGGTGACAATGGGGTTTTAGGGCTTGCGGGTTTCGATTTCTTTTTCCCGTAGAGCCTTCTTTGATGAGCGTAGAGTAAAACCCCGATATGTCTATGGCCGGCCTCCATTGCAATTTTGAGCGCAGTGCTCCCATCCTAAACCAAACAAATTAATAACCAATGGTGCCAACACACAAACTTACGATATCGGTAATACTGGAGTCACAATCTGGTTGTGTTAAAAAGTGTTTCACTATTTCATCATGGCCGTGTTCGGCTGCGCACATGAGAGCAGTGCTACCATCCTCATCCTGAATGTTAATATCAGCCCCTGCCTCTAGTAACATTTTAACCATATCGAGCCGGCCGTGGCTTACCGCCAACATTAAAGCAGTCTGGCCATGCTATAACAAAAAATAATTAACGGAATTAATTATTTTTGGTGTTTTCGAACCTGTTTTGCCCGAATGTTGACATCGGCCAGTTGGAATAGCCTTCGCACGACGTTGGCGTGTGTCTGTGACCTGACTTCGGCCAGTGATACCAACATAACACTCGTGTAACCAGCCTTATTCGGTTTATTAATATCACAAACTTTTGAATCAAGCAGGATGGACACTACATCGAAGTTCCCATGTGACACTGCGTAATGCATCGCAGTGTTACCACTTTCATCAGTCATATTAACAATATATTGGAGCAAAACTGAAGAAACTTCTTCAAAAGCGTCTAAATAGTCTTCAACATCTAACGGATTTGCCGTATACAGGCTTGATATTTTAAACCATTCCTGTTGAACAATATTAATCGCGTTGTGACTTTTTAGATTTTTCGTTTGACTTTTTTGGAGGGAGTCGTTCAGTACTTTCATCGCACCTTGCATTTCTTTGCTTGGTACCGCTCTGAAAAATTCATTACGAAAATGTTTCATTTTATGTAAATGTTTTTTACTTTTTCCTATGTTGAGCACTAGCAGGGTTGAATAACGCCGTTTCCGGTAGTGGCAGTGTTGATTCTTGTATTTGCACTTTCGTGGGGGCGGCAACGCCATTTTGAGCATGAGATTTCTCCGGTAATTTGAAATTGTGTGTTAATTTATCTATCGGATTTGAGAGTTCGTTCGATGGTGACTTTGGGGACAAGTCGAGTCCTGATAATCTGTGAAGAAAAATGACAACACTGTTATGTAACACTCCACTTTACCTCGTCAAAAGGATATGTTGATGCATATAAGAGCAGTGAGCATTTTGTGAGCACTCTTTCGGACTCAACATTCGGTTAAAAATCAGTTCAAAGCATAGTTTTACCGGTGAAAAATTACGATAAAACTACGATAAGGGATGATTTTGTTTTGGTTCTATCATCAATAGTCTAAATAGACGTGGGCGCAAGCGCAATATACGATTGATTGGGGGAGGTGATGGTGAACACCCCTTTTTATAAATCAGTTCAAAAGTCAAAATTCTATAATATTAAGGAGAATTTTGATTTTGTGTCCGTCAAGACTCTTGTCTTCGGATAAATGAATTACTAAATGAATTAAAAATTTCCTGTTACAAAGTTTTGAAAATCAGAGCTCAAACAGGTGTTTCAATTTAAATAATGCATTTTATTTTTTCCGCATTCCTTTTCACATAAAACATAAAAATAAGTTGAATGTGTAACTTAAAAAGTTTATTGGTAGAAAAACAACGATTAAACTTTTTCCGCAGAAAATATCTGGTAAACTTAACAGATTTGCTTCAACATGTGTTTTCTCCTATTATTATTTAATCAATATTTTAATATAAAAACATAGCATCATTTGCCAAACACTTTCGATTTTCACACTGTGATGAAAAGTGAAAATTCCTTCATTTTAAGTCAGAATTTCTAGTTTAATAAAAATTCATAAGTCATAGTTGTGGCCTTTATAATACAAAAAAAAAAAATCTCGCAACGTCGGGTTGTGCCTAATTTGTTACTGAGTTCGGAATTTTAAGTTTGAGAGAATTTGAAAATCAAAAATCCCAATTTGCAGTTCGAGAATTACTTTCTGAGAATTCAATATTTTCAACTCCATTCTTTCACAGAATCTAAATTTTATGATTTAAAATTAGAATTCCAAAGTAAAATTTCTATCTAAAAAAATCCCAATTCCTGGTTTCAAAGTTAAAATTCGCTTTATTATTATTATTATTTCGGAATTATATACATATTTTTAATATAAAAACTCCGAATTCGGAAGTCGAAATTCGGAAAAAAATTGAAATGAAACCATAGTTGTTGCTGTTTTATTTTACGAAATTCCAGTATGTAACTCAATTTGTTATTGATTCCAAATTTTAAGTGTAACAGGAAATTTCAAGACGAAAATTTTAAAGTAGAAATTATAAGTTTGCAAATCGGATATTTTAGCTTAAAAAAATAGGACCGTGAATTCTAAACTCAAAATTCGATAAGAAATCTAGTTTCATATTCCAAAAATTAAAATTCCAAAGTGAAAATTTATCAGCTGACTGGTCCGAATTCCCAAATTTTAGTGAGAATTCGTTAATTAATTCGAAATTTCTGATTCGAGAAACAATATTCCAAGTTTGGAAGCCGAAATTTCATGGGCATTATTATTATTTCGTAGAGTTCCATGACGTCATTCAATTTGATAAAAAGTTTTAAAATGAAAATTCTTAATGTAGATAAGAGTCTGAATTCAGGTTTTAAACTTAGAATTCGTCTTTCGAGTTTTTTAAGCAAAAAAATATTTTCAGTCAAAATTTTGAACTACATTCAAAAATCGTAGTTGCCGTAAATGAGGGGTTTGAACTAATTTTTTTATAATTTTCGATTAACTGTTCCGGGTTTCAAATAACTGAACTTGAGTGCTTTTCCAAACACGCACAAATCGTTAAAGCAAGAAAAAGCTTTTGTAGTTATTGTCCTCCAATGTTTACATAGCATTGTTTTTGATGGTCAATGACCTCTAATTCCACATAATAAATTTATAACATTTCAGTGAATCAATAACGACAGTCATGCAAAGGATGAAAAAATGGTGAAATAAAAATAAACCCACCCTAGAGTCGGTGACCCTGGTGATGAATATATTTTGGTGTAGGTATCCTGTCTTCTAAACTTCCTATTTTCCACCGGAGTGGTCGGAATTTGTGGCCTCGGAATTTTCGACGTAAAACTCGTATCTTTCTTATTAACCTCTTCTTTCTCCTTATTTGTACATTTCGCACATACTGTTTTGTCATCGCAGGTATTACACCCGACATCGGTGGTCAGTTTCTTGCGTTCTTTGGCTTCACAAGCGACATGTCTTATCGCCGTGATCAGATCTTTGGTATCGGTGTCTTTAGAGACTGAATTACTTTCATATTGCGTATTTTTGTGTATTTGTTTAAGTTCGTGCTGACACGCTTTCGAGTGTGTTTTGACTTCGCATTGACAAGCTCTACTGACTCCCGCAGGTTCGAACTGCGAGGCTTTAGAGACTCCGAAATTTTCATACTGGCACGCCACTGTTCGACTCCGGGAGTTGAAATTCAAGGGGGCCTCGCCCAAATTGAACGATTTGCTCCGCGGCCCCATGAGGGACGCCAATGAGACGGGGCTGGTGTGCGAGTCTTCGCTACTATCCGGCCCCACCCCCACACTACACTTACAAACGCTGCATTTTTCACAAACTATATCACTTATCGTGTCATCAGACGTGCCGATATTGTAAACCTCGACACATTTTTGCACACTGAAATCCCGAATTTTGGGGATTGCTGACACGCTAGCGTGGGAGTAATACTTCTTAGGCTCCGCGGTTTGTGTCTGTGCCTCAATCATTGGCGGTTTTTCAATTGTTTGACTAGCGACTCCTCTGATTTCTTTAATGAGGGTTTGTGATGATCGCGAGATGTTTTGGCTGTTCATGAATTTGATTTTTTCGTTGAACCATTTATCGACAGTGAGATCATCCAGAGTTGCCGTTGAAACGGTTTTTGTGTTGGGGTTTTGGTGGCCTACGCCGATATTTCGCGTCAGGACGCCACAATTCACCCCAAAATCTTTTCGAGGTGGGGGCGGAGGGGCCTCTTTCGAGTCAAGACTGTCAATGTTGGTGAATGACTGCGACTTCATTCGATTGTTTTGAGGGGATTGGCGAAGATAATTCGCGTTTATTGTGTTGTATTTTTGCGTTTCTTCAGATTTTAGTTGGAGGTGCAAGCGGCGGTTTTCTTCCTTTAATGAGGATAACTGTTCCTGCAAAAAAAACAGAATTGACATTTGACAACTTAAAAATACATATGTGATTACAAGCCTCGATGACAACACAACAAATGCAATTTGGAGACCGAAAAGTACACTTTTAAGGCTTCTTCAGGCCCGAATGAGGGTCTTAATTTGACGCTTCACGAAAAATACACTAATACACATTGTTTCAAAATTATGTCAATTTTATTTAATAAAAATCTTCCAGAAAAATTCCATTTTTTAAATGCTTGTTGATTGTTGGCTACAAAAGTTTATTGCAATTTTTTTTTTCATAAAACAAAACCTAATAGAATATTTATTTAGTTCCATTTACTACTTATTCAAAATTCATAATATTTATGTATTTAAAAATTCTCATAAAAAAACAATGAAAATTAATGTAATTTGTAGTTGTATTTAACAATGTCTAATTCATTTGCCATTGTCCTACCATCGACCAATAATAATACTTTGCAGCTTTTTAACGTATAGCATTCTCTTACTTTTTATTGGTCTAGTAAATCAAGCATGTTAACTCTCGAGTTGGTTTCACCCATTTTGCAAAACCAGCTACAATTAAAATAAAATAATTGAGACTAAGGGCTGGCTTATAGTAAGTGAAGTAAAATAAAAAATTAACTCAATCAAATTAATTAAAAGTAAGTTTGTACTGCCAGTTGTTAAAATTTGATTGTAATTAGTTTTTCTGTAAATATGTACTAAAAAGAGAACTTTTATTTAATATGTATTTTCTTAATTATGTATATATTTCTTTTTTGTCTCTTTAACTCATTTTGCCCAATAAAAATTTAAACCTCTGGTTTGTTTTTATGAAACCTCTATATCTGAGAATGTAATTTATTAATTATTATTTATTATTAGGTATATCATTTTAACATCTAAATAAAATTATTATTTTTATCCACGACTATTAAATAATATGTTTGTTATTTACGTAAGTATAGATACATTATGCTACTGTAAGTTACACCCGTGACTTATTATAAGTCACTAGTGACTTATCATGAATCACGGATCTGTCATTATAATAAATATAGATTTAGTAAGTAGAAAGTATTTCATTAAAAAACACCATAAATAAAACGTCGTAAATATTTTACTCGCACTGAATGACTATAATTCACTCGGATGATTACTCGGCGTTGGCTCGTGTATAAACATCATCCTCGTGAATTATAGGCTCCATTATGTGCTCGTTAAATATTATACTATAATTTTACCAAAAAAAAACATTTTTAAAGGCCGTTTTGATTTTATACCAAGTAACTAAACTAAAATTGTAGAAAAATTCATAAGTGATATTTTTGAATAGAAATTGTTTACTTGTGCTTTTGCTTAATTAATTATTATAATTAACGTCAACAGAGTATTTTGCCTAAAATTTTTAATTAGAATTTGGTACTGCAACACTGATTTTTTTTATAAAATATGGTAGAATCGAAAATTTTTTCTAGAAAAAATTTCTCAATATTTTGGGTTCTTCCCCACAAATAATATAAAAATGCATTGTATTCAAATTCTAGCAATTTATTTTCTAACTTTTGCAGACTGATTTTGTTACGCATTTTTGATTAGCTGTTACCAAAAACGGGCAATGGAATTTTCTGGTGACATATTTTTTTTTAAACAAAACTTTTTTTCATACTAAAGTTAGACATCAATTTAGTGCAATATAATTATACATTTTCTAATTTTCGTTTAATTAGAATGAGGTGTGATAAAATTTGACTAACTCTGGTATAAAAATTCTATGAATAAAAAATCTTACTTGAACTCAATGTATCCCAAAAGCGCCACACTTACCGATAGATTTTGTATACGTTCTAGGGCAAAACCCATAATTTAGCTTTAGCTAAATCGAAATATTATTTAATGATGGAAAGTTGTACAAATACTCCTGAAAAGTTAACAGAGCAAATCACGATAAAATTTTTCAATTAAAAACATATCGATTCAAGAAAATGTTAATTTTGCGGCTTTGCAAAGGTGAAAAGGCAACAATCAATAATTTCACTAAAGAAATATTCGATTTGTGGTAAAAATTAGCTTAATCTAGTGGAAACCGGAAGTGCAGTATTGATTAGTAGTAAAAGGCGAACCTACCTTTAGTTGTGGTATAAGTTTGACTTGGTCTTCGAGTAGTTTGGTTCTTTCTAAGCTGATGGCCATTTGCTCCCTTATGCTTTGAAGGGCTAAAGGGCTCAATCCGCATGATTCTATACTGACCGTGTCGAAATCGCGGTTCGTTGTTTCTGGTAGCACAGTCATACTCGAGCCGGAGACCGATGACATCGAAGAATTCGATGGCACTCTTTTGATGGTCTCTGGACATGGTAAAGTTCGATTAAAACATCGCACCCAAACACAATAAAAATTATCAGATAAACAGGGATCGATGTAAATTGTTTTATCAATATAAATAATTAACGTTCGAATCGCAACATAACAAAATATTAAAACACTACTGCACACACGGTATAAGTCGAAACGTTCCATTTTCGCAATGTATTGTTTGCTTCATTGTTAAAAATTATTTAACGAGACAGGAAAGTTGTAAAGTTAGCGAAGTATAACAAGCGCACATGCGCATACACAACTGACTGAGTTATCTTGCCAGGGATCATAGTGTGGAACGAGTAATCCCAAGCTTTCTTCTGGGATTTTTTTCTATTGGAATGAAGAACAGTTAGAGTGCGAGAACAAATGAGCATCATGTGGTTAATTAGATGCATGCGGGCCCGAAAGGGGCGGACGTTTCCCCTTCTGAAATTTCAGGCATACTTTTTCAGGATCCGGTTTGTTGGGAAACTACACCAATATTGACAAACTAAATATTCTCAATGTCACAACCCTAACACATTTTATTAACACTACCGGTATACTCGTACACTCGTAATTAAACTTATCTGAACATCACACAAAGGTGGGGCTAGAATCAATGCAAATACTCCATTGTATTATCTATCAGAAAACGGTACAAGAATTATACGATCATCAGATATGGAGTACCTGTGGAACTAAAACGAAAATTAATAATGCGTTTCGGGGTCAATTAATTCTACAAATTTCATCAAAAAATACATTCCTTGGTTTTGATGGCCGTTTCAGCACTCAAATTAATGCAATAGTAACTATGTACATCCTTGTTACAATGATTTACTTTCCGAAAATATTAATATTTTACTCATTAAATGAACTATTTTGAAAAAACAATTTTTTTCTTTATTATTTAATCACTGTTTTTGGGCCAACTACAGTACAACTTCGATGATCCGAATCAAAGTTAATCCCATCATCTCTAAAATAGCTTAATATACAGGCTGGTTAAATAAAAATTACAAAACCAATTTTAAATCTGAACATGACAACTATTGCGTTATCTCAGTTAAATCGCCCTTTACATCAGAAGTTTTTGTTGAAATATTATTTTTTTATCAAAGTCGCATCATAGGATTTTCTTTCGATTGTTTACGCATTTTAACTAAAAAAAAAGTTAATTCGATACACGGCAAAATCAAACCTCTTGCAATAATTAGTTCGGATTATAGAGGTTCTACTGTAATAACATTTTTCAGTAGGTTTTTTTTTCTTTCAATTTTTTGATTATTCCGTTAGTATTCCTACTGCAGTTGGTTGAACTCTCATTATAATTCAATTTAGATTATTCAGGATGCTCCTTGCATCCTGTATTTCAAAGATTTTTCTTTTTTATAATTAATTCAAGATTAATTTCAATTTTTGACGAATTAATAAAAATTAATTAAATAATATTTATTATAAGAAATACTTTGTAGAAAGAATCTGAAAAAAATCACAGAAAAAAAAGTTTTTAATTTTGATTTTCGTTTGTGTCTCTGTGTGTGTATGTATTAGTTTATGATAAAGCTGAAATATACAGACTCAATCTGTATGTATACTTATATCTAAGTATATTTTTTATACCTATAGAAATATTTCAGTTGTTTATTCTGTTTAAACTGAAACTCCGAAAAATCGATGTTTTGGAAAACACTTTGTAATTAGTTCGGATTATAGAGGTTCTACTGTAGTCGTAACAATTTGTATAAAACCAATTTCATAAAAAAAAATATTTTTTATTTGACATTTTAAAATTTGAAGCATTTTGAAAATATTTTACTGTTTTATTATCTCTATAAATACTTGATAGTAGTTTTTGCAACTCTAAAAATTCGAGAAAAAAAAATTTCATTAATTGATTAGATCAGATTTTTGTGACAATTAAAAAAACTTTAAAAATCCAAACTTTGAAGAATTGCCTCGCTTTGGACATGTTTACAACAAATCCGTTTTTAAAATTATTATTTTCTTAGTTCTAAGCAATTTCCTGACGGTTGGTATAATAAAGTAGAGTAAATCGATTATAGTAAAGGTCGGTAGGAAAAAATAGAACTAGTTTTTCCCATTTACGTACGTAGTATGTCTCTTAAACCAAATTAACGGGTTGTCGATTTAGATAAGAGTTTTAACGGCTATTTCAACACTTAAATTAATGTTGTAAAAAACCACAAATTTTGCTATTTAATTTAACGTATTTATTTATTTGTTGTTGTGGGTGCGAAAGTTCACTGACCTGACACGGCTGTAACATCTGGTAAATTATTGTACAATTTGTTTTTGGAACGTTGCAAAGTCCTTTCAAAATCCGAGATGGCATCATCAAAAGCATCTTGACTTACGGGAAGCTGGCTGCTAGTCTGGATTATTTTCGGAGTTTCCTGTTCTTGAATCGTCTAAAACAGAAAAAAAGCCGGCTTGTATCCCGAACTCGCTTTAACCCTGTCTAGTACTTTATAACTTTGTTCTAAAGCAGCCAAAACCGGGGGCGTAATTCCCAATAAAACTTCCATCGATTGTCGTTGTCGTCGTCGATCTTTGCGTCGTTTGATCGACCCGGTCCTGTCAGCCTCCTGACTGATCGTTTCGCAGTACCGGACGAAGTCCAAGTCGATGTGGTAGCCATAGGGGCAGCAATTGCACGTACTGCCGTCCCAGATGTACCCTAAAACAATTCAAATTGTGCTACCCTAATTTCAACTTCCAAATTTATTTACTGCATCAATAAGAGGAAATGAAGTAATTTAAACCCCGACTCTAAATTTAAGTTTCATCATTTACCGGAAAATCATCCAAATAACTATAAATCTTAGACGAAGCAAAGACACGCCTTTGACATTTTCAAGACCTGTTTATTGCCGTATCCTCACGGAAACGAATAGTGGCAATAAATATCGGAGAGTTTACATCTAATCTTAATCTTATCTCTAGTATGTATTTCAAAACCATGCAATTAAAAATTATGGTGGTGTGTACTAATTACAGGGTGATTCGAGGGAGATGATCTATCTAAATTTATTGGTTTTTGTGTCATTTTTTACTGCAGTAATTTAAATTCAAAATTAATACAAAATGATTGAATAAAAAAGATGGAATATTTCTGCAATATTTTTTAAGATTACTGAAACGCTACTCTCTATCATAACTTATCTTAAATAAATAAAACAATTATTTCGATCGTATCAGAATTAATTATGATTAAGTACAGAGTGATTCTTTTAATCTTTGTCAAAATCGTTTATTAAATGATTATTATAATTTCACGACTTTTCCTTAAAAAATACAAATTTAATTTTTTTCCCGTCTAAGATAATTAGAACAATTTCATTTTTAATAAAAAATCTACAATACTAGCCATCTCAACTGATTCACCCTGTACGTTAAGATTTTTGATAAAAAGTTCGTTACAGTTAATAGAGATTTGATTATTTTACACAAGAAGGTGAGTAATGTTCAAAAATATTAAAACAAAAATGGAAAAATATTGTTTTTTTTCCAAAAATATTTCATCTAAATATGCATGAAACACATTTTTTGTCAAAACATTTTAGAATAATTGTTTTAATAATAGACAACAAAACAAATGTTGGAGAATTTAGATTTAGTAATTATCTCTTGCATTAAAAAACATTTTTTTCACTAAACCCACATGCAAATTTCATGAAACTTTCCTGGGGGCTTGATTTCACATTTGATTTGGACAGTTTTTGCACAACTCATTAAAATGTCAAATATTCCTAATTTGTTTACGATAAACGCGTTACTGACAGACACGCTATAAAAAATGTTTCACGTTGGATATTTATTATGGTTTATGGTAGCATCTGTCTTCCCATGGAGTTTAAACGTCATTAGGCTCCTCTATTCGTCTAGTGTGAAATTAATATGCGGATGGGGTTTATGGTTTATGCGGACAAAAAATTTGAATGTTGATTAGGTTGGGGAATTTTATCGATGTTCCAGGTGAGAAATCTCCGACTTTAGACTCGTACAAAGCAAAACTAATTAATTATGTTTGACGTTGGTTTGATTAATGAAGTTAAAAGAGTTAAAGTCGGGTAAACGCGAGTGTCATCTTGTGATTATCTCGTGTAAAATTAGACAAAGTCGTTGAACTTAAATTACCAGCTCTAAATTAGGAAAGTTCGGAAAATAATAGTCGTTATTGGCAGGTGGGTGTTTCTTGAATAATTTTTCTAGTTTAGCCCGGATTTGAGCGAGCTCATCCCGTGGTTATTTATAAGTTCAGGAATAAGTAATTCATTTCATTTTAAAATAAACGCGCGCCTTAATTGACCCTTGTGTAATAAAAACAAGGCCAAGTGGGCGAACTATTAGAAAGTACTCTTCACACCTGCACACCCTTATCCAAATATTGACCAAATCAACATAAATAAGTTTACAAACGAGTAAGACCTGAATTGGCCTGATTAAAAATTAAAGCACACGATTTAAGGATTTTGGCAAAAGAGAAAGTTGCCTTCGATTTGTCCCATTTCTTTTTACAAAAACAAAATGGCCGCATTTAACAACTTACCATTGTCATTTGTTGTCCTATAGCTTTGCGAGTATGATGACATTGTCAGATATCTTCCAGAATTTGCACAACTACAACAAATAAAGTAAAAATTATCAATAATCAGGGATACGATATTGATTGTTTTATCGCAGATAACATTTTTTAAAAGCACCAACAACAAAATTCTCGCATATGGAAGTCATTTACCTACGCTATTTTAAGTCAAATGAATGAAGCTATTTAAAATAAGATTTTTTTTAATTTATTTTCAACTCGCTGAAACGTTACACTTTTGATTTTTATTTGACACAAGAATAGCAGCCTGTTTAAAAGGTCAGCATCGACTGAGGTGCGTAAAATCTTAAATCAATTGGCGTTTAAAAATTCATAAACCTCAATTTGACACGATTTAACCCCACAGAATACGAAATTTCTCACTGTACTAGCCATTATCCCACCCACGTGGTGCATAAAAATGACATTTGACCCAGAAAACGTGGTCAAAGTGTCGTTGTAGAGAGCACCGACATGAATAAAAAACACTTTAGAAACAAAAGAAAGTGGAGAAATTTTGATGGATTTATTTACCGACGCGGGATCCTAATTTTCTTTACTTTTCTCAAATCCGTATTATAAAAATTGTTGACTTAATTTAGCCTTGCGGTTCGCTAATAAAATTTAATCCTATTGTGCCGAATATTTGCGCAAATATTTGTTACAGCAGGTGCAAAATAATGTTATTTTCGAGTGTAACGCGTGCTTTAAGGCATTTGTTTATTTGTAAATAACAGTTAAACGATTATACCATCAATAAATGGGTGTAAAAGTTGCCTTCTGTAAGAAAATCATCGCTAAAAATAGCGTTTTCCAAACAGGTATTTGTTAACTAATTTATTCAAAATGAAAATAGTCTAATGGCATTTGATTAAAATGAATTGTCGCGTTTAAATATCGCCAGATGTGCGTATTGTAATACCAGGAAATCAACAAAACGCCTACCAAATTCCAAAGAACTGAACTTTTCAAAAACGACACAAAAAACCGCCAATTCAAGCCGCTCAACTTTCACTTGAAAAAATTTAAATACATCGTTGCGTTTCCCCAAACTTTTCATTCACAATTTTCGCGAAATCACATGTTTTACTTTTTGTTTTTCAAAATTGTCAACATATACACTATTTCAACACTTCTTCTTAGAAAGATAACTTCACAATGACCAACGCATTCTAGTACAGTTGCTCACCAGTGCGCATGCGTCCAGCATCTTGCAACAGGTGATTTTTATCTCGGCCGTTTTCAATTTTCTTCATCCCAACAAAAAAAATACAAAATTCGTAAAACCCGAATTGTTTGACTGTTTGGAAACAAACACAAAACTGTTTTATTATTTTTTATTAATTGATAACAACTAGTAATACAAATTGTAATAGAATTTTATAAAAATATATTATCCATTCTGTTAATAAATAAAAATCAGCTTTATGAGTATTGCACTATGAAATAAGAGACGGTTGTATATCTTCAGTTGCGACCGAAAGTACGTCCGCATTAATACTGTTATAATTGGGGACGTTTTCATATCCTAAAGGGTCTGGAAAGTGCTAAAGTAACCTTTGGCAGTAACTGAAACCCAAATACCAACCTCCTCTTACTTTCTTAAGGAAAGATATCACAGCTAAAGCTCCAAGAAGTGCCGACCCTCCACACACATACGTCAATACGTCTCTATAGTATCCCGTATTGGAAGAATCCTTATGCCTGAAAATCAAAATTTAACCCTTCCCCGCCCCTATGACACACTTACAAATCTTGGATAATCACAACAGCGATCCCATTTGCAAGTTTATCAGTAAAACTCATAATTCCGTATACGAAAGCACCACTACTTGTCTTATCACCGATAAGATCCGCAGTAATACCAAGACTAGTAACAAGGGTTATAGAACCACCGGACCCTGAAAACTCGACTGAATATTTTCCGAAAAATAAATTTGATTTTTACCGATCAAAACTGCAATTATGTAAATTTGGGACGACTTTAATTCATCATTGGAGCCACACTTGATCCAAATACAGGCAGCAACCCCCATTATAACACCCAAAATGTATGAGAGCTTCCGGCCCAAACAGCGATTTAATTTTTCAATAGTCATTGAGGTTATGAAACTTCCGATAAACATAATTAAAGGGATCAGGGCTAAAGCACTTGCTGCCATATCAAGGGTCTCGTGGAGATACAAAGGGATGAAAACTTGAGTCAAATTGACAAAAAGTCGGGTCGACATGTACACTACTGCAACCTGGGAGGGATATTCTCGCAGCCTGTATTTTGTTTTTCAATACCTGATAGACTTCAACTGAGCGTAAAATATCCGCAATTGGGGTCCGCAGCGACGTCCCCCTGACATCATTGCTACCAGAAGCGCCTTCCTCTTTGACAAATACGTGAAATATCACCGAACAAAAAATCCCCAGAGTTAGGCCTGTCCAAACAACATGTTGGAATTTGGGGGCATCCCCCGGCCCGATTTTTGACTCCTCTCCACTACTTATATGCAAAATACCCCACGTTATGACATAAACTAAGAGATTCGAAACGACCGTAAAACAATATCTGAAATAAACTGTAGTAAATACGACTAGTCACTTGTTTGCGTTACCTAATAGCAGTGAGTTTGGTGCGGTCGTGCTCATTTGGAGTTAATTCCGGTATGAGGGAGAGATGAGAAATTTGCACAGAAGCCCACCCGAATTGGAAAATCGTGATAAAAACACAGTAGTAAAAGATTTGGGCCCATTGGTGACTATCTTTACAGCCTATACAAGGAGAGAAAATGAAGGGAAAAGTCACTACGACGCATACAGTGCCGACTAAATGCCAAGTTTTTCGCCTTCCGTATCGGCACAGCCAGAAATTGTCGGACTGGTCGGAGTGGAACCCCACAAAGGGGGTGGAGACAGCGTCTGCGACCTATTTGACTGTAATTTTTGGGAGTACAAAAACCAAAATTGCATTACCTGGCCAACGAGGAGCATAAAACCAGCCTGCCAGTTATTGAATTGTAGAACTAGGTGGAAAAATACGAGTAAATAGGTAAACCACATGGACGCACACACATCGTTTAAAACGTGCCCCACACCGTAGGCAAGTTGTAGTTTTAAGGGTAGTCGCCGGTAAACTTCCGTATATTCGTTACTTAACAAGTGTTGACTACTAACTTCCATTGTTACAGCTACTAAAATTAGAAAATGCTCTGATTCACATTAAAACTGCGTTATCAGCTTCGTATAAACATAAATAAACATAAATAGGGTAATTATTTTTATCGATTTCGTGCAATTCGTAGTGTGACTTACATTTGTGGAGTAATTTTAATTTAATGAACCACCCCTAACCTTTCCCAAACATTATTATATAAACATTGTAGATAAGGAAAAAATATTAAAAAATAATAATATTTACAATCGAGTGACAAGTCATTACGAATTCTGTCAAAAAACGCGCCACCAACCGGATGAAATAAACATCACTATTGGGTTTAAAAAAGCGCGCGCGTATCACTGATTAATTTTCTCATTCGTGATAAACTGATAAATTACAGTTGGGTGTTTTCTGGGAATTGAAATGCTAATTACGATAATAAAAAACATTTATTCTAGCATACAATTATTATTAGGCAGTTGATAAATATTGATACAAATCTTTCGTTACAAAAACAGAGTTTTAACCCTCAACAGGGCCATTACTGCATGAGACAGCCCAAAAACGTAATCTACGATATATCCACATATGGTACATTGAAATTATTAGAGCCTAAGAAACATATTTTTCACAATTCATGGGTCTTAGTAAATGCAAAAACAAAGTAAATGGTGAATGATATATACAACACCAAGACCCACAAGCCGTTAAGCGAATAAAAGCTTAAAACTATGTTCAGTCTGACCAGAAATCTGGAGCCAGAGCTGATCTGTTGTTCAATTCCTATTGTTTACGAAGGTTTTTTTTTTGAATTGCACAATACTTCATATTGCATAGATAATAATACAATACAAATAGAAAATATCAAATAAAATACTTTATAAGTTACAACATAAAATATCACTTTGATGAGATTAGCTAAATAAAATTGAATTACAAAAATGTGCAGGGTGGCATAGGCCATCAACATCCAGACTAGAAATTAGCTTGGCACACCCCAATATTTGTCATGCAGCGCATCACACGAATTGAGACTCAGTTCCATACTCATTCTGGACAATCTTTATATTGTACTAATCCAATTATAGTCATGTTAATAAAGCTGTTTTTTTTTTAACTTTTCAATACCCAAGTTACTGTATAATACAAGTTCAATACTATCATAAAAATAATACAATGATAATAGGAACATTAATATTATCTGAGTAATGGACACAGCAGCCATTGCCACAATCTCGTTGATATTTAGGAGGGCAACAAATTTTTGAACGGATGTTACACTTACTACTCTAGAAAAGACATTAATAACTGAATGTGGGGAATTTACATTAAACACAGATCATTAAATAAAGGCTTACACACAAGCACTTTCTCAATTCCTCACATACTAATTTTATAAAATTTTTCATACTACATACTAGTTTTTTTTTATTAATGAAACATCCTACAGTAATTGTAAAAATACAAATCACCACTGGTGTCACAAAAATTATTAATAAGGTATCACACAGTAATTATTAACATCTTTGGATCAAAAATTGTAAATTCTAGTACTAGTAACATCTTAAAATAATTTTTTGACACATCTCTACTGCAAATACGTTAATTACAAAATCAAGGCCTCTCCAAATATAACAACAAATGATGGAATGCCAGAAAATCAGATTACTATAGCAAATTGTGCGTTTTTGGCATGTTATTATATTACTAAACCATTACAAAAGCCTCTTTGCCACAAAACAGGAATGGGTATTGATTAATCATCGTTTGTACAATATCCTCCAAATAGGGTCTCATCTGCTCAAACCTCCCCATATCGCTGAACTCGATCGGTAACAACGTCGGCCACCAACAAATCGCCAAATTCTTACTATCCATATTATTCAACTTCGAATTTTCCGCAACCCTAAAACCACAAAAATCACCCTCAAACTAAACACAACCCCTAAAAACCTACTTCACAAAATGTTGAAACACAAATTTTAACACTTGGAAATTAACTTTCGGTAACTTTTCCAACATACTGCGCAACGCAAGCAAACGACAACTTCTATCAGTTTTAACTTCGACGTTTCCCGTTGTAGTAGCCATCGGTTTAATCCGCGCTCCTGGAACTTAAATCAACGTTTTGGAAACCCTTAAATCACCACAAAAAAACACTACCTGCAATCTCCTCCAACTCAGACATTACATCCTCCTCAAAGAGTGGCGGTAATCTCTTAGAAACAAAATCTTTCAAAGCAGTAGCGACAGCATTAACGGGAATATCGAGCTCGTGAATGTCAACATTCGGATCTAAAAAGACTAATGAAAAAGACAAAACACCATGTGGCACCCTCACCTTCGTCAAACTTCTGGAAAAGGAGGTCCACGTGGGCCCTATTCCCCGGCACTCGATAAATACCTTCAGATTCCAACCCCTCGCTCTCAATAAATTTAACACACTTCTCCAAAAATATCGGAATGTAGTTGTTTTCGTTCTAAAATTAACGGAATTGCAATTATTCTAATAATTCTTTAAAATACTCACTTGGATAAAATCGGACAATTTCGAGGGTGCTGACGAAAGTGACAGTGCCTTTTGTTTGATTTTCTGTTGCTTCTTCTTGTCCCTTTCTTTTTCCTTATCGGCAACTTTCCTCAACTTTTCTTCTTTCAGCCGACGTTGCTTTTCAAGCTTTGAATCATCTTTAGCTTTCTGTTTTTCCCTTTTTCTTAATAGCTTCTCCCTGTCTGACTCCTTCATTTTTGGCAATACCCCAAACTGTTGAAACAAATTAGCAATTTGTACAATTTTATAAATTATATGTTACCATCGGTGAATTATTGTCTCGCGGCGATGAGACATCCAAACTAGACTCATCATCGTGTATAATACCATAAGAATTTGGTTTAATCGAAAATAAATCAGGGGAATGCAATTGGATATTTAAGTTGTGAGTGTTATGCAATTCCGACACAGGCACGCGTTTCTTTAAACTAAAAGATCGCTTTTGGGAGAAACGATTGCGACTATCGGCTGTCCCCGTTCTGACTTGCTCGGCATCGCTGCCTTCGGACGAATCCGAATTTGATTCACTTCCCACTAAAACAGTTATTCAAGAATAATCAAAAACCGATTGTTTTCCCCCACCATTTGTCTTCTCAGGATCCAAATCCACATGTGGCGTTGAATGCACTGATGGTAGCGTGAATCCTCCAAGTTGGGGCACTCTGGGAGGCTGCACCGGGATAGCAGTGCGCTTTTTACGTTGTCTTTTGTGAGTACCCGACTTCCGGTTTACTTTCGAATAGACTTCGCTCGCTCGTTGCCTCCGTTCGAGGCTGCTCCATTCGCTATCTGTATCAGAATAAGCTGAAACTTTTTTTCATTTTTTACGGTTATTTCAACTGTTATAAACTCACATGGCTGGCCTTTCTCCCTGCGTTGTCTCAATTTTGATTTACCGCTGACTGCGTCCTGCACCAAAGTGTACATGTATTCAGCATCTGGCGGATACATGTTGTGCACCATATCTTTGACCTGCGCATATTCACATCCTAAATCAACTACCTCTGGTGTGGCTAATGGAGCATTTCCAAAATTAGTATTGCGTATATCTTTGCCACTTACGTTCATCCGAGCTATAGCTTCCGTCACAACTGAATAATTTTTCAAATTGAGCTTTCCCGGTTGCTAAAAAAAATAACAAACGTCAAATTGGCCATTCAGAATTTTTTACTATTGGAAACAAATTGACAGTTTTTTTTTTTAATTTTGAAGAACTTTCTTTAAAAAACAACCATACTGGGCTGTAACTTCCCCATAATCTATTAATTTCCCAAATCGGGTTTTTGTTATTTTTTTATTATTACTACACAATTAACAAATTGGATCAGTATTTAATTGAAACTATAAATTATCACTACGATATATTTTGCGCAGTAAAAAAAATAAATGATAAGTAAAGCATGTTCAATATAAAAGTGAAAAGTAGAAAAATTACAGTAGATCCAGTTAGATCTATATAACTTCAATTTCCGCAGTAAAAATAATAAACGATCAGTATCTTTAGTCAAAATTAGTAAAATAACAGAAAAATTTAGGGAACAAATTTATTTTCAGTCAATGTAGGGTCTCTGGGCAAATATATTATTTATTATTGTATTTCTAAACATTTATTATTTTACTGAGCAATTTTACTGAGTTTATTACTTTGTGTACTAAGCAGAACTCGCATCCAATGCAAAAATAAAGCAAAAACACATTTCAACACTAACACAGCAAATACTACTTTTGCATCAGTTTTTTAAAGAGTAAACGAATGAAAATTTAATTTAGTGACGGGCGAATTTATTACATTTTTAGTAAAGGTTTTATTAAAGTTTGTTTACAAATATGTTAAAGCACATTTTAAAAATTTAGAAATAAATGTATGAATTTTTTAATTTTAAATGGAGTGTCAAGCGCTGAAAACAAATACTATCTTTTAACTTAATTATTTTTGTTATTTGCTTTGTTCTGCACTTATTATTTTTGAAGAAACTTTAATTTGATTGATACATTCACATTACCGCTGCTTTTATTTGACTTTTGGACATTTGACTTTTTTACGTCTATTTAGTATTATCGATAATTTTGTGTATGTTTTTTTCAGAATTATTCAGCAAAGATGCAAAAACTTTGCCAATAAAAGCCACGAATAACGTTAAACAAAGTTCCAATTCAGGATACAGCCTCTTTGTTTCCCCTCTTCTAATGGCCTGCAGCAAAAAACATGTTAAATTACTTTTCCAACAAAACTTAAACCCCTCTAATTTCGAAATTTTTATACAGTATGTCCCCGGATTGAGTTTACAAGAAGAAAAAAAAAAATCTTTGATTTTACGCGAAAACTGTACAGGAAAAACATTTTTTGCTTTACCTGAAACGAGCAAATCTGTAATTAAAACTTCATTATGCTGATTCAGTGAAAAGAAAAGTTAATTTTTCTCTTGATTTTGGACTTGGAATAATTTTTTTTTGCTTTTTAAGTCCAATCACATTGGCGGTTTTATTATTTTGACAATGATGTCACTTTGACAAATTAATTTACGATAAGAAAAAATGTTTGTAAAAAACATAATTTTAATAAATAGCAACTCAAAGAAACAGCTTTAAGATAAAAAACAAAGTAATTTTTAACAAGAACTATCATTATTTAAATAATAAATTAATTGTCAAAGTGACATATAATTAATAAAACCGCCAATGTGATAGGACTTAAAAAGCAGAGAAAAATAAGTCGAAAATCAAAAGAAAAAAAATTCTTTTTC